AGAACCCCAGATTTCTGCAGCCCGTCATCCTTGTTCAGGACACGTCCATTTCTTTTGATTTCCATAATGATGTCTTTGGGGTAGAAGCCGGTGGCCAGACAGGTCAAGATGACGTTTGATTCAGTTTTAGCCTTTAGTGTGAACATGTGCACTGTGGGTGGTTCTTAAAACAGACAATAAAATATGGATCAGCAGGGAAGAAATCAACCATCATACGATTTGCATGTTCTCCATTTTATCTGACCAATATTCTAAAGTTAGTTATCCATTAATTAAATGCTGCATTACCTTATCTTTCACACCTATGTTTACTTTAAATGTAATTTAAGATATTTACACATATGTTTTCATTTAATACCAAAGATCTCTCTATCATTGACATTTTAAAAGGTATATTGAAGAGAACAATCATACATATATAAAGGCATGTTTTATAATATACATACTGGCTTTTACAAGCTGTTCTTTCCCATAGTCTCTGAACTTGCTCATCCACTCCATACACTCCTTCTCCAAGTATCCCTTGGTGTATTCCTTCAGGACCTGGACCTCATCCCACTTCCTCTTGGTTTCCAATGCTGCTGTATTTGGAGCAACCCAAACCTGTTTGTCATCATCGAAGGACAGAAAGTCCTTTCCATCATAATTGCACATGTCCATCCCCTTGACAAACTTCAGAGAGCCGTCGGGCTGCGTTTCACCCACACAGCCGTGCATCCGCTGAAGAATATGGCTATCTGTTGGAAAACAACACAGGAAAATTTATATTTGTAGCCTTCTAAAGCAAGAATCTAGTTAAAGTTTTCATATTTGATTAAAGAACTTATTTTCATGGCCAGAATCGGCGTGATCAGAGCCTATAAGAAATAGACAGGTCGCAGAGTATTATATGATCTTTGTTAACTTAAGTATAAGAAATATAAATATTGTTTCCTTTATTCTTTTAAGTCAAAGCATTTCATTTATTCATAGACTGAATATTTATTATCAACAAAACAAATTATGCAACTCAGAATGTACCTACAGACCAAAAAAGTCACAGACTTCAGAGTTCAATAACAACATGCAGGAAAGGTGGCAAAGTTTTAATTTTTTTTTTTTACTTTTCTAATCCCTTAATTAAGAACATAATGTCATAAAAATGTATAATACCCCAAACAATTGAAAATATACCGCTTTGTTACTTCCATAATTAACATCATTTAATGTATTAAACTTTTAGTAATTCTGAAGTAACATCTGTAAAATATATTCACATTTCTTTCCCACTGGTTGTTAAATCAGCAATGGAGTGAAGTCATGAACAAAGAAGCTCCTTTACAACTCAAACATTATCCGATATTTGCAAGTAAAGGATGAACTAAAATGAACAAGAAACTGGAGATTGTTATCTCTCTCTAATACACAATATATCTTCTGGGAAGAGTTTCTGATTTCCTTTATAATGAAGCTGTTAATAACTTTGTAAATTTTGCTCTAAAATATTGTAGCATGCATAAACAGAAAATAGTTCAATTTACAAATGCTTACCAGTTATGAGTGGAGTGTTTACGTTCTCAGAACTGCTGCTTCCTGTACGGAAAAATACAAACATGATTTATGCAGACTGAACTGCTTCCATATTTTATTCATTTATTGGACAGTTTTGTTCATTTTCAGCAGGTGTTGTACTGGAATCAGACTGTTTTTATAGGGGTTATTCTAAGTTATCATTTAGCAATGATAATAGGTCAAAGCCAATTCTCCAATCTGTAGCAACTAAAATGAATCAACTCTCATCATTAATTCCAATGATTAGGTATAGTTTGAAGTCCTTGTTTGGTGAAAATGGGTGACTTGAACTGGAGTTTTAAAACTTAACCATCTCTCTATTTTCTACCCATACCGCACTTAAAAACTTAAAAAAAAAAAAAAAAAAAA